AGGCGCGGCCGCGCGGCGGGGGCGCGCGCGGCGGGAACGCGCGGTGTAACTGACAACAGCCGAGGGCCCGGGGGCGCGCGAAGGGCCGGGCGCCGCGGACCGCCACTCACGCTCCAAGGAGAAAGGGGTCTGTCCCACGCGGGCGCTGAGGCCTCATTCCGGAGAAGCCGGGGGAAGGGCCCGGGTGGAGTCTTTTGCCCCGGCCCCACAGTGCTGGGAAGAGAAGCCAAAACCAGTCGGCACCCCGTTGAAACGCTGCCGCCTCTACGTGCGTTTCTGCCCTCCCCCCAACATGGCGGCTCCCGGGGCATGGAGGAAGCATCGATCATTCGGCGCTCTGCCCACTTGGCGAGGGAGAAATTAAATTCTCCGAGGAAAGATGGAGAGGGCGGGCTGACTCACAAGAACAAGGCGGGGCTGGCTCGGAGGAAGCTGGGGGCGCAGGGAGATGGGTCGAGTCCTGCATTATCCACCAAGCCGGGGTTGTGGGCTGGTGCCCCGCTGATGCCCGGGCGGAAACGCTCCTTACTCCTGGAAGGAAGCGCAGGTGCGGCTGCGTCACGTAGCCATCGCCCGCGGCCGGAGGTGCTGCCAGGGTCACTTTCGGAAACGCTGTGACGGAAGCAGCAGCAACGGGCCTGCTAAAGGAGCATTTTCAGTGTGCTTTTAACGACCTGTTAGTGGTTGTAAAAACCAGTTTAGCTGGTTTCTACCTGGACGGGGTACAGGTGCGTGTAGTTTTTGTTTTCTATGAAATAGATTAAGAACTTACCAGAGACATCTCAGATAGTGGAATAAGTATTATTTTGTCAAATTTTTAAACAATTTTTTTAAAATTTATTTCTTCCATGAGAGGGAGATAACAGAGGATCCTCACACCAGCGTCCCAGGCCGCCCGGATCACAGGCACTTTGCACTGTGTGCTCCGGAAGGTCCTGGGATGTGAATCCAAAACGCTTCCGTGTGGGTACCTTTGTGACTGCCACCACCTGGCCCCTATTTGGTGAAACTTTGGATTCATTGATATGCACTGTACTAACTGGGTCACAGAATTTACTGTGGGTGGGACACTTTGAAATCGAAAGTCACTGTTGAAGAGAGTTTGCCCTGCAGCCTGCTGTAGTTTCCTCAAGCACCCGTAAGCCTAGAGGTAAGACCTACAGCACTGTGAAAGTTCAACCACCCATCATAGGAAATTGTAGTCAGGAGAAATGAGCCCAAAGAGTATTAAACTTCTCAAAGAACTAACGAAGTTATAGTACAGAAACAGGCTAAAGTGTGATATAATCTATTATAGGCTCTGTTAATCAGAAAAAGATTATAGAAACTGAAGCGTGCATGCGCACAGCGTGACACAAATCACTCTACAAAATCTCAAAACTATAGTCCATATCAAGCATCAAAATCAGCGTCGTCAGTGCCGGCAAAAATATACTATTAGGGTCATACAGAATGGAAAACTTATACACGAAAATATTAGTATGAGCTTAACTTCGAAAGTACTCAACATGGTATTATAAATGAGGTACCCCATGACCCACCATGACCTTTTCAAAGCAAACATTTTTTCTACACAAGCAATATTGATCATGACTGAGCAGCAGGACTCTTCCAAAGAGGAAAGGAAATAACTTCCTCAAATCAAAAAATTCAAAAGATAAATTGCTGACTTTTCAATTAAATGATTATCTGTTCAAACCGTGGCAAAAGGATAAAGGCCACAGTTCCCACGCCCATTTCCTTAAATCTACGGGCAGCTTTTCCTGGAGTCTGACTCAACACTTAACATGCCTTTGCCAAGTTCTGAAAGTTGACTACATGGTGCATTAAGTGTTTTTTGTTTTTGTTTTTTTTTGTATGGGTAGTATAGTTTAAATACCTTTTTTTTTTTTGAGTGAAATAGGTAATTACCATATTATCAGTTTTTTTTTTAAAGATTTTTTTCTATAGGGTGTGTGCACTCACTGGAGAGACAAAAATCAAGAAAGTCCCAAGCCCCCACACTACCCAACCACCACCACCATCTGCCCCCACGGGGGATGACCACACCACAATCCCTTCTTCATTCACTCAGGATTTTGGGTATGCATGCACATGTGCCTGGTGTGAGTTTTAAACTGCCAGGTCCACCACTTGAACCACAGTCGACTATGTGGGAGTTCAGCAATGTAACCATTATGCCATCTGCTGGTCCCATCAATTCCTATTTTTTTTTTTTAAATACATTAGTGGGGCCAGCCCCTATGGTGGCTAAGGTGGCTAGATCCCACATGGCTGACTATGTAGTTCAGTTCCTGGGCTTGAGAAACATACCGCTAGTGTTCATGCAGCCCAAAAAGAGAGCTGGAGGAGAAGGGATTATGGCATGGCCTTTAGGAGTGGGGTGCTTTTCTCATTTTCTCAGCCCCCATGCCCAAAGTGCAGAAGCCCTCAGACAAAATAAATAAGGGGCCAGCAGGTGGTGTGGTGATTGTGGTGTTGAACTCTCACGTGGCCAACTAGGTTCGAGTCCCACACCTGGCAACTTGCTTTCTCACTTTCTCTCTGGTGAACGCATGTGCCCTGCAGCAAACTTAAAATAATAATAATTATAAATAAATAATTCTAAAAATAAATACAGAAATATATGAAAAAATAGAAAACTGAGGTTGAGCAATTTCTTAATGGAAAATAATGTGTTATATTACAAGATGTTGTAATGTAAAAAATATTTGCAAATTGCACAATTAGAGGTTAGCAATCTCAACTCCTAATTAGTAGACTATAAAGTACTACTTGTACATACCTGTTGCCCTAGGCTTCATCAACAGGAGATTATAATTAAAATGCTTCCTGAAGACTTTTTTAAAAGTAGAATTAAGCCTAACTTCAGGTTAACTGCTTCCTAATAATTGTCCTAGTTTGTTTTAATTAATGCTGAGAACAGTACTTACTTTCCTGACAAATCTATCATGATCTGATTCCTGATTACCTTCTCTAACTTCATATCCTGCTCTTATTTTTGCATTTCAGACACTCAATAATAACAAGAGTCAACGTGTATTGAGTGTTTGCTGTATACTAGGTACTGAATTGAATCCTTCAAAACTTTAAGGCCTCCTTAAATTCCTGAGATAGTAATTATCAGCCATCATTTTATATATGAGGAAATTGTGGATTTGCAAAGCTGTGATGATTACCCAAGGCAATAAGAGCTGGTAATGATGGAAGCCAGATTTATATCTAGGCAACGTGATTCCAAGAACACAAGCTCTTTAAAGACTACATGGAGTTTTCCAATAAAATATGCTTTCTATCTACCTGGAATATCTATCTCATAGCATCCTAGCACTTAGGAATTTATGACTCAGTTCAAAAGTCACTTCTATAATTTCTCTGATCTCCTTCCTTATACTCGCCACTCCCACCTTTGCTATTACTAAATCGAATATATCTATTATTGCACTTTCTGTGTGGTTAGCTATTGTTTCTGCTGTGGTTTAACATTGTTCCCCAAAATTTATGTGTTGGAATTTGGTTGTATTGTGAAGGTATTAAGAGGCGACATAATCTTGGGACCAGCAGTTAACGTAATGTCTATGTCGCTGAATTCCCATGTAGCCGACTGTGGTTCGAGTCACGGACCTGGTGGGTTAAACTCACACCGGGTGCATGTGCGTGCGTGCCCAAGATCCCAAGAAGAGAATGGAGGAGAAGGGATTGTGGCATGGCCATCCCTCCTGGGGTGTGTGTGATTTCTCGCTTTCTGTTTCTCTGTCTCTGTCTTTTTGGCGAGCGCATGGGCCCTATAGCAAAAACCTCCCAAAAAAAAAAAAAAAAAGAAGTGACATAATCTGATTATGGCATTGAAGGTTGGGACTCTGAGAAGTGATTAGACATCAGGTTGGACCCCCCCATGATTAAATCCTGGTGGGTTTACAAGGAAGGGGAATGAGACAGAGATACAGTGACAGACACTCTGAGCTTCCTCTGTCTCACCCTCTGCCATGTTACCCAACAGCAAGAAGACACTCACCAGATGCAGCCCCTGGACCTTGCGCCTCCATACCATGAGCTGAATAAACCTCTATTCTTATAAATCACCTTGTTTCAGGCATTTTCTATGATTAGCAGTGGAGCAGACTAAAACAATCTCTCTCTTCTTTTTTAAACTTAAGCACCGTGAGAGATAGAACCATTTTCTAATAATCTCTCAATTCTCAGTTCTTTGCCCTGTGCCCTCTGTGTATTCTACAGACACTTGTGGGATTATAAATAGAATGATTACATGCATAGTATTACTGATTTGCTCTTTCCTGACTTCCTTCTATGTTCCTTTTAATCTCTGTACATTCCAAGATTGAATATCTCAGGGATAGTCTATACTCTCCCTTCACCTTACAAACACTCCTAAAACTATATCTGAGTTCGTCCACCCCTGCACTACCAAACAGCTTTGTTAATGCTGTCATAACCTCTGGTTGCTAAATCCAAGGACAATTTTCAGCTATTGTTTTACGTGACTCAATATCATTTGACACTGTTGACCACACTCCTCTTACCATATTCTTATTCTTGGTATGCAAGCACCATGATTTGCTTTCCTATTCTGGTGTGTGCATTGTGTATAAATTGTCTTCTCAGTCTGCTCACCGTACTTAACTTGTAAATCTGTGTTTTTCTCAACACTGAAATTTTTTTTGAGAATTATTTATTGGGGCTGGCAGGTGGCATGGTGGTTAAGGGTGCTGGACTCCCACATGGCCAACCACAGTTTGAGTCCTGGACCTGGCAGCCTGCTTTCTTACTTTCCCTCTCTTTCTCTTGCTCTTGCTCTGTCCCTTTCTGGTCAAACTGAAAAATAAATAAATAAATTTAAATAAAAATAATTCTTTTAAAAAATTATTTATTATCATTATTTTTTCAATTTTGACTAGAAAGAGACATAGAGAGAGAGCAAGCCACCAGGTCCAGAACTCAAACCACTGTCAACCAGGTGGTAGTCCAGTGCTTTTAACTACCAGTCCTGCCAGCCCCAGGACTTGCAAATTTTAATCTTTATAACTTGTTTCTTTGATCTTGACCCACATATGCAACTGCCCAGTTCCTGTTTCCATTTGAAGTATTACAACAACCAAACAATCAAAACCAAAGTCAAAATGTCTAAAAACAAACTTCAGGTTTTTTTCTTTACTTCCCCTACCACTCTAACAACAGCAATGACAACAACAATGATATCAATAACAAAAAGCCTGGTCTTCTACTGTTTCCTGTCTCAAACATAACAACATCAATTACCCACCCAATGGCCCAAACTAGAAACTGACTAATTTAGGTTTGAGGGTGGACACAAACGACCATTCGGACTTGGTTCAGATACTTTTGATTTATTTCTAAAGTACCAAACCAGCTGGGTAAAGGGTAAAATTGGGATACGTAGGCTGCTAGGTACACTCATCTTCCCAGCGGTTCCCTTGTATCTCATAAAGGCATACCTAACGTGCAGTGGGCATAAGGGCCACGTCCAGTCGAACGTTCTCCAGACTGGATGATGACTGAAGTGGAAGACGTATCAGCGCCCATTAACATACTTAGTGAGCTGTGTCATGGGTCACAGTCAGGTATAATGGTCAGGTTAAAAGCCTTGACTCTCTTATTGTGCCAAGCTCCATGACAAGCTCCCCTTCTTAGTGCCTGTACTGCACAGGTTAGACGCTTTCTAGTTATGTCTGTATAAGGGCTTTGTGGAAAACTCTAGTTACAATTGATAGATATTTTTGACCCTTCTTCACTCCTGACATCCAACTAGTCACCAAGTCCCGCGGTTAGTAATTTCTAATGATCTCTCAAATTCGTTTACTTTCTACCAGTATGTTCACCTGGAAGTCTGATATCCCACTGCCACTCTAGTTCTTGTCTAATCAGTTCACTGCAAAGTGGCCCAGCTGATCTATTAAAGTAGCATTTCTATCAGTGTTTTCAAGAATCTTTTGCCAAACATTGGGATACTCCCTTATACTTGTCAGACCTTTTCTCTATAAAAATGTATTTTTAAAAATGTTCAGGGAGCCAGTAGGTGGCTTGGTGGTTAAGTTGCTAGGCTCCCACTTAACTGTCACAGTTCAAGTCCCAGACCCAGGCACTTGAAAGTCACACCAGGAGCGCACATCTGTGTGTCTGCTGCCCAAATGCTGAGAGGAGAATGGAGGAGAAGGGATTACAGCATGACATGTCTCCTAGGGAGTGATTTCTCATTTTTCTTCTCTTTGTCTCTCTCCAGGGAATGCACACACCCTATGGCAGAAACCTAAAAAAATAATAAGTTCAGAACTTAGCTAGATATCAGTCAGAAGTGGATTTTTAAATTTTATTTTTGCCTTAGTGGGTGGTTTAAAAGTCAAGTTCTATGCCTTTGCCACCTTATGTTATCTTGGCACCTAGTGTTAAATAGCTGTATTTTATTTAAACATTTATCTACAAACCGAAATAGATCCCAGTTCACCTCAGTTCACGAGATCCAAGTTATACTCCTTACCTTTAACATTTTTCATCCAAGACTGTATTACCTTCTATGCACACCATTTTTCTTTGCCAGTTAGGTGGCACTAATAATTTTCATAGTCCTATAACCCATTATCTTCACAGAAGCAAGTTGTAATGCTAATTAGATGAATTACATTGAAACATAATTTTCCAACCCATTTGTTAACTTCCGATCTTTTCCTTTTGTTAGAAGAGCTGTCTAATAATGTATCCAATGTACCTTGGAAAGCAAAACTAGATATATTCACTAAATTTATAATGAGCAGGATACCGTGCCTTCCAAGCTGAACTCCCTGTGGACTAGCATTATTTAAAGGAGGAGTGCTGAAAAATTATTGTAATTGATGACCAGAACAAAACTGAGTGGAGTCTGTGGCTATATCATATAGCCACGTGATATGGTACCTATCCAGCCTGTTTCAGACAACCGCGTAGGAGGTTTCTAAGCTTGCTGTAGGTTGTATTGCTTCCCACAGGAGGGAATAGCTTCACATATTACAGGCATCATAGGTGTGGGCATCTATTACAACTCAGATGAGGTGAAGTTGCAATATTAGCCTTCATTAGCAATATTTACAAAAATCATATTAGAATAAGAATGTCTTTTTTTTTTTTTGAGAGGTTTTTGCCATAGGGTGCGTGCACTTGCCAGACAGACAGAGACAGAGAGACAGAAAGTGAGAAATCACCCCCCAGGGGGATGGCCACGCCACAATCCCTTCTCCTCCATTCTCCTCTCGGGATCTTGGGCACGCACGCACACGCACCCGGAGTGAGTTTTAAGCCACTGGGTCCGGGACGCGAACCGCGGTCTACTACATGGGAGTCCAGCGACATAGCCATTACGCTAACTGCTGGTCCCAAGAATGTCTTTTTAATATGAAAGATGTTAGTCTTTGAATAAACACCCAAAGTAAAAATTTAGCTACACATCCTAGGACCTTAGTTGCTATTTTTCTGATTTATGGCTTGGCTACCAGGGAAATAATCTATGTCTCGACTCCCATTTGAGCAAAGAAACCCACCATCACCACTTCAGCCAAAAGAGATTTGTTCCAACCTCCCCTGGCACATAATGCCCAGCTTCAAAGTCTTCAGTATCTGTCTACCGCTATGAAGATGAAAACTCAGGGCCAGATGGTGGCATAGCAGTAAACACTGCTCTGCAAGGCAGTCCCATGTGGGAAGGTTCCTGGTTCAGGTATGGAGATCTCCCTGAGTACACTGGGCACATGCCTGCACATGATCTGGAACAGGCTACGGGCTGGAGGTGGATAGTGGTGTAGGGACCTTTCTGAAGGTGTTCTCTATTATTTGTTTGTCTCTCTCTCTCTCTGAAAGAAATAAATAAGCTTAAAAAATAATAGTAGTACTGGTTCCATGGTGCAATGATAATGTGCTGTTCAAGACAAGCAGGATCCCACATGGCTACTGAGGTTCAAATCCTCAGCCTCATCAACCCGAAGCACTCTGAGTATGCATGTGGATGCCTAAGATCTGATGGGCTGGAGGAAGGAGATCACAGTGTGACGAGACCCTGTGAAGGGTACTCGTCTCTCTCTCTTTATCATACATGTGTGCTGCGGTGCAGCAGCTGTTAGGTACTTGGCGGAGGAATCTGTATCCCACATGGCCCACCAAGGGATCGGCGTTTGAGTTTAGTCACTGCAGCTTGAAAAACATTCTGGGTGAGTGCTTGCATTCCCAAGACCCTGAAAGGATAGGGAGTTGGAGGAAAATGGATTGCAGTGACCATCCCTGATCCCTTTGGGGAAATGTTTTCTCTCTCTCTTTCTCTGATGCATACACATGTGCCCCCTGACACTGAAAAAAAAAAAAAAAGTGATAGGAAGACACTATTTTAAACAGAATTGAAAATAACTTTCTGAGTAGGGAATAACAGAAAAGGAAGGGAATAATCTATGCAAAGATGTAGGAAGAAGAACGATGGCAAAGAAATAAGATTCTCCATAGTCATTTACTATGCTTGTGGAATTATTGATGTTTTCATTATAGTTCTGTCAGTTTTTTGTTTTATATATACATTAGGCTGTAATTCAGAACATATAACAATAAAACCATGATTTTTTTTTTTTTTGACCAAGTGAAGGTCTCATCTAAATGCTAGTTTCTCTATTTACTTGACCAACTTTGACCTTTTCAAATATATGCATCCCTTCTGAAGAACTTTTGGGAACTTTTGACTACAGAGTTCTGCCTTCCACAGCCCCCTCGGTATGAGGAGGCCTCCCTGCTAACCACAAGGCAACTCTAGTCCTGGGAGAGGTCTTAGGTATAAAATAGATCCTGTAATTTTGTATGTTAAGGAACTGGATTATGGCTGCAATTTGTCTACATTTGTGAACACTCCCCCTCTTTCCTTCCTGTAGCACAGTTCTTGTAAATGACAAAATCTAATTTTAAAATTCTGTTTCAGTAATTATATTTTCCACAAGTGCAAAAGTCCTGAGTCAAAAATGAGCCCAGTTGTATTTTGGTGGAGAAA